GCGAGGCCCAGGGTAACCCCTCGGCCCCCCCCGCAAGGTACCTGTACGTGAACAGCCGTGCCTGGCCCCGGGACTGCGTCATCTCCGACCCGATGCAGCCGCCCCCCATCGCCGAGGAGATCGACCTGCACGTGTTCGACCTGAAGACGATGAAGGAGGTGAAAAGAGCCCTCCGCGCGCATCGGGCCTACACGCCCAACGAGGAGTGCTTCTTCATCTTCCTGGATGTCAGCAGGGACTTCGTGGCAAGGTGTGTGGCGGTGGGGGCAGGCAGGATCCTCACCCCGTGTCCGGGAGGCCCTTGGGGCTGTTGCTGCGGGATGGGTTGTGCAAGCGGGGCCGGTCTGTGACTGGAGACTCCTGCGTGTTGTGAGCAGAGCAGGAGGTCTGTAAAGAGCAGAGGGTGCCGATAAAGGCTGGCCACCCTGGTCCTGGGTGAAATCAGCGAGGAAAGGGGAAATTTTGGGCTGTGCCATGTTTGGCAGCGGGTGGCAAATGCCCCTCTGGGGTCTGCAGGCAGCAGGTGCTGTAGGGCGAGTTGACGGGGCTCCCTCTGGATCCCGGAGGGAGCAGGTGCCTCGGGTTGAAGGTCGTGGGTGACAGGGGAGGCTGGAGCCTCCGGCCAGGCTGGGACACCCTCTGCCTCCATCGGCACGGAAGGAGCGGGGTTGGGAGCAGCAGGGTGTCGGGGCTGCTGGGGTGACGTCCTTACCGGGGTCTTCTCCGCCGCAGCGGGGCGGAGGATCGCCACGGCTACATCTGGGACCGGCACTACAACATCTGCCTGGCCAAGCTGCAGCACGACAACGTGGTCAACTCGGTGGCGTTCAGCCCGGTGGAGCAGGAGCTGCTCCTGACAGCCAGCGATGACACCACCATCAAGGTGTGGCGCTCCCCTCGCGCCGTGCGCGTCCAGCAGTCCAGGAAGCCCAGGCCCAGGAAACTGCTCTTCTCCTGGCTTATGAACCAGAAAAGCTGAACCCAGGTACACCTGCTCCTGCAGCTTCCTCACTGCAGCCACCTCCTCTGGAGCTTGCAGAGCTCTGAGCCCTGTGCGACAGAGACGAGCTCTGGGCACGCAGATCCCGTCTGCCGAGTCAGG